ATTCCAAAGGGTCATCCCAAAGTTCCTCTCACGCTCCGGAACTGGAAGGAAACCGTAACCCTTGAGCAAAACCCGTGACGTTACGCCTGCTCAGGTATCGTTCCACCCTTACCAAAAGAAGGCGCGCCAAGGACGCATGAAAGGATGGTCACGACACTTAGGATGCCGCTGATTGGAAAATTAACGTTTCTCAAAATAACCAATCGGCCCGCATCCTCGACGTTCCAAGGCGAGGAATCAGAGATCAACCAAAATTGAATTATTCAGATTCGAGATTTCAAAGAGTCTTCGAAATCACCGAAGCTTCGAACAGTAAGAATCGCGACTCCGAGGAAAAGAATTGAGACTTCGACGAGTCAACACGGAACAGATTAATATTCGAGCTACCGTTCAAATTTATCAACGCTAGACCGTAAAACGTTTGGGGCACCCCACGCGTTACTACGAAGGAAATAACTTCTATCGCGACGCGTAGTAACAAGTGGAATTTACAAATCTATAAATTTAATTAATTTCAAAGCAGTAGTCTGAAATAAAGAGCACAGTTGTGAACGATGTTTTAATTACAATTTTAATTTTAATTTTTAATCCCAATTTTATGGTACGAGATTCACTAGCATTCGCCCAAAATCTCGAGTAGCTTTAAACATTTAAAACAGATTGTTAATTAAAACACAGAAAAATATTTTGAAACTGGAAGTTCGTAGAAATATCGTCCCCTTCAAAGAATCGAGGCATCGAAAAGGAGAAATAAGGCGAAATAATACAAAGCTCGCAAAGGAATCGTATGCTTCTTTATATTATCGTCAAGTACCCACGAAACGCGTCATTATTTTCAACCGTTAAAATTTCATCTCTCGAGGAACTTTTAATCCAACAAGGAGAGTGCATGTCCTTCGGGTCACCGATTTAATTGAAACTTTGTTGGTTTGTAGATTTCGACATGCAGTTCAAGAATATATATATCATTATAGCCGCCACTACTCAATAGTTTTGAAATATTTACGATTAAAATTTTATTACTTCTGTAACTACAGATTTATTTCCAATGGTTTTCAAGTGGCGTTGTAGCCTAATAGCGACACCCGAAATTTTCCAATAGCATCCCAGTCTAAGGCAGGGCCAGTTCGAACCTTCATCGAGATAAGAGGTACGCTTGAGCTAAGCACCAACGGTTAACTTAGGGCAAACCCCAGTGGTGTATAGAACAGTGAAACAAAGTATATCCCATCAGTGGAAGAGAAGAAAGGAAAAAACTGAATATAGTTTGGATTTATCTAAAATAAAAATAACATAATTAGTGCGATATTGACAACTACGCCAACAAGCACAACAAAAGCATACAGGCGGGAAGGGCTCCAGCACCCAAGGGATGTATGGAAGTTCTAGCCTAATCAAAAACACCCTTCAAGATAACCAGCCAATATACCACAAATTCCTAACCGAAGATAACAGCCAAATCGCTAATATCGCACGGCAGCTATTTAAAAACAAAACAAGCAAGAAAATCATCTACACTGCGTCACCAAATTTTATACTAAAAGATCGATCGCAGAGAACAAAAAATTACCAATTTTCATAGTTAAACTCTTCCCCGAAAGCAAGCCTGAAAAACTGTTGGAACCCGGATTTCAATATACAATACGACTTCTAGCAACAAGGCTACGTTGGAGAAATACAAGTCGGCGGAGAGGAAAAAAACTAAACTGAAACTGGAACTGGAACTGAAACTGAAGCTGACTTTTCGCAATTTTTGTGGGTGCTTATATAATGTTAGTTTTTGGTGCGGTGAAGATGATCATTGGCCCTTAGTGAAAGTAGGAATGAGTCAATTGTTTTTCGATTCTGAAATTGGTCTGCGTTTATCAGCCAGGCCCTTCTAGTGACTAAGGGCCAACGAATCGTTAGTTATCCAACAAAACTCAACCTCATCAAAATAGTCCTATTTTCTGCAGTGAAATGGGAAAAAATTAATAAAAGAAACCAAATACAATGCCGCCACTGTCAAAGAATAGATCACGCGGCAATTAATTGCAACCAAGAATACCGCTGCGTCAAATGTAACGTCAATCACGCACCAGGTGAGTGCAAATTTAGGCTTCGATTTAGGCGTTTAGGACGATGCTTGGAGTGAGCATGTCTGGGCAAATATAGGTCACCCGAATTCAACTTCACCAAATTCATTAGCAACCACAATCTATATAGAGAACCGCAAATAACCGGAATAGACCTCTTCATACTTAAACTAATTAGAAACCACTGGTACAACCTTGACAGAAATCTAACAAATCCATTAGTAGCTCACTCCTTGTATCCAAATCCGCATTTCTTTGAATCCACCAGACATACAGGCTACACACCACCCGAGTCGTTCACCTACCTGGATAAACAGGGCTTTATTCAAAACGGAAACAATATCCCACTAATATACCACTTCAATAGGAAAGAGATTAACAAAAAAATAGAATACAGTCCAAACATCGCACCGGACGATCATCACCTAAAATATACGTACAAATTAATCCCCTTAGACGTAAGCGACAATCCTAAACATAACACAAAGAAGTACTGGTGGCTCGTAGAAGTATAAGCCACCATATGTAGTCTATTATCCATGTAATCAATATAAATAAGTTATAATCTAAGTCGAACCTGGAATTAGTTGGCGAGCATCCCCGTCAACCAAGCGAGAAACCGCAATTCGATTCCCCGCTGGGGAGAACTATAATTTTTATCATCGTTTACACTTATATCCAAGATTAAAATTAATTTTTAAGTATACCATATGTACATAAAAGCACTATTCATAATAACCGCTCCTCTCTCCCCCTTTTCCCCGGCGATAGAATAATATAGTTTTTACTGCGCTTTTCTATATTTTTATGCAACATAGATTAAGTGCTCCCTACTTACTACCTCTCCATATGTCAATAAGTGCAACTACTTCAGTACTACATCATTTAAACTACGCGTACTCTGTCTCAGAGTCTTCTATCGCCGTTAGGCTACAACACCAATTGAAAACCACCGGAAATAAATCTGTAATTAAATAATTAATAAAACTTTAAAATTTTGTAAATATCTCAAAAACTATCGAGTAGTGGCGGCTATAATGATATATATATTCTTGAACTGCATGACGAAATCTACAAACCAACAAAGTTTCAATTAAATCGGTGACCCGAAGGACATGCACTCTCCTTGTTAGCTGAAACTTCAAGGAAGCAGAACCTAATTAAAATGTAAAAATGACAAAATTATCGTTCTTCGTCGCCTTCGCTAAACTCTATTCCGAGACAACTCTTTGCCGTACCTCTTCAGTCTTTAACTGCTCTCTACATTTATTTTGCTTCTCGAAGATTTCAGTGATCCAATCTAATGCCCGTCAACCAGCGAACGTTCATACATGAGTAGTCGTACTAGAAAGAATCCTGAAGATTAGAGGATCAATCGAACTGCTTGTCCGGTTTCCAAAGCACTGAAACTGTCGAATACCGTGGCGCACCCTACATTACACCCTCGAATTTGATTGTAATTCCATCGTATACAAGATAGAAAGATCGAGAAACGCTTCGAGCGAATCACGATGTCATTAACCTTTCGTCACCGGACATGTTTCGCTATCGAAACCAAGCACGATACAGCAAAAGCTCCAACAAAATATTGAGAAATTGCGATATCTTCAACAAGTGCCAACAATTGTTCCATCACAATAAACCACATGTGGAATACAGTGAGGTTAAATAGTGCATGTATAAAGTGATGTGTGCAATCAAGTGACATGAGTGCAAATCGTATAAAGATATTACGTAGGTACACAGTTTAAGGAAATTTAGAGTGGTCATCACGCTATGGTCTCAAGGTTCGTATTGACATATAATGAAAGAACTAAGAAATGTAGAAAATTACAAACAAGATTAGTTAACAATGTATAATTACAAAATCTATAAATTTCAGCCATGGGGAAGGTATTATTACTTACTTTACCAACCTGTATGTCAAGTCATGAGATATGGGAAAAATTAAGCAATATCTATGAGAAGGATTCAGAACAGTAAAGATATTCTGTTGCAGAGGAATTTTTTCATGCATATATCTAAATTTGAACATGATATAGTACTGCATATTATGTGGTTGATAGGTAAGTTTTCAAATTATATGCATTAGGATGTAAAATAGAATAAACAATGCTTATAACTAAAATCTTAACCACATTGGCACACAAGTATCTTGTATTTGCAAGTATCTGAAAGTTAATGCAGAAAGACGAGAAAAGAATAGATAATTTCACATCTCAACAGATTGTCAAAGGAGCAAAGGGAAAAGCAGATCAAAATGAATTTATAATCTTCAAAGCTCAAGAGAAGAGGTGTTTCAAGTACAACTCCAATAGACATCTTGCACCTGCATGTTAGAGAAACGATAGAGGTAACAACGAAATTAAAGGTTTCAGTTTTGAAAGATTAGGATAAAAATCAGAAAAATTTCTAGGATTAGGAAGAAAACACAAGACTTAAGAAGTGTACTCTCCATGCGGGACATGTAAGAAGTCTAATTATTTGGAAAAAGACTGTTACTTTAAAAATATGAAGGAAAACAAAGGGGATCAAGCAGAAAAGAAGAAAGTGTGCTTCTTAACAGAGAACAATGGACAAAACAAATGATTTTCGGCTCAAGAACAACCAACCAGCCATATGGTGAACAAGCTAGAATATTTTAAGGAATAAGAAGCAATAAGAACAGAAATTGAATCAGCAAAGAGAAACATTTTCATGGAAACTATAGCAAACGGTAGAGCTGAGTTAGATAGCTGTATATTTGAAAATGTTCTGTATGTATCAAACTTGAGACAGAATTTAATGTCAATACATCTGATAACTCGAAAGGGTGGTAAGATAATGTTCTTAAAACATAATGTAATAGTTTATAAGAAGGAAGAAAAAATATTGGTAGGGAAGACGTGTGTTAATGGATTTTATGGTGCAGATGAATTAAAAGGAAAAATACAGGCTAGAGTATTACTAGTAGAGAGAAACAAGAAGCTGGTAGTAGTGCAGAAAATTGAGCCATCTAAGTATAGAAAACATGAAAAAGTTGTTCAAGAAATCATTGGAAATAAAAGTAATGAAATGAATACGAAAGGCAAGAATTGGAGAATGCAGGATACTTTTTCTATGCAAAGTAATTGAAGACACTGTTTTTAGAGCCAAGAACAAGGGCAAAAAGGCAGCTTGAAATTATACATTCTGATATATGTGGACCTAGAAAGCCAGAGACATGTAACAGAAATAGGTATGCAATGACAGTCTTAGATTTTACTAATTTTGTGACGATATATTTTATGGAATCATATACTGAAGCATTACAGAGATTATTTAATTGTGTTGCAGCAGCAGAAGCAAAGTGGAATAACATACAGATTTAAATACGATAACGGAAAAAGGAGTTTAACAGTCGAGAATTCAAGAATTGGTGCAGACAGAAAGTAATTATTCAGGATTATACGACACTGTATACACCTCAACTGAATGGAAAGGCTTAATCGAATATTACTGAATAAAACACGAGCACTCCTGTACGATTGAAATAGAAAAGAAATTGTGGATGGAAGCTGTGTATTTTGCAAATTATCTACAGAATAAAGGTTCTGCAACAAGAGTGAATACAACTGTATATAGAAAGTGAGTAGGAGAAAGATCTCACATATGAATTACACATTTTTTGAGAAACTAATATTCTTCGACATCTGAAAGTAATAGAGCAACTTTGTTTGCAGGTTTGTTTCAAGGAAAGTAAACTCTGCAAGAATTACCCACTGAATATTATTGATTAAGATTTGTATTGACAATGTAATTGAATAAATGATACAGCATAATCTTTGTACTACTGAAGAATATGGTTCAGTTTAACACTAGAATTAGTAAAAAGGTCAAAAGCATAAAATAAATATGTATAAGTATGTATAATTAATATCTGAATGAAATGTAAACTAACTATTGTCAGAAGCAAATATATATTTACAATAATTTATGCATTTATAAATTTTTCCTTAATAAATTAATTAATTATTAATAATTATTGCACAGAAGACATGAACTCATACCAAAGATGCTATTGGTTTTCCATTAATTACTAACTTCTATGCAATTAATTCATGAATTACATGCACATATAAAAATGGTCATACTGCTGATGTATCAAATTTTGTAACTAACACATATATATTATATATTACTATACAATATATTTTTATAATTAATTTAATAATTAATTTTATTAATTTATAAGTTTTCTATCGTGGAAAATAAGTACTTCTTAATTTATTATTTTCATAACAGAAAGATATTTGAATTTGCAACATTGTTATTAATAAATATAACATCGTTTGATATTCTACGTCGATACTTTAGTATATGGCTATCTCAAACAGGAAGCATCTTCCCGCGAAAACAAGCATAGCCTGTCCAACCGCAGCGCGCTTTGTGTCGACGAGAATCTAACATGCCGGTAACACGTGGTGGAATATTTACCCGCGCTGAAGTGAAACTTTCAATGTCAGAACAAAACATTTCGTGAAGTAGTGCCATTATTGATCAGTGTTTTAATTACTGTAACTGACGAAATCAATATTCAACAACGATAATGCGCAGTATCAGTTATTCTTTCGGAACATTGAACAACTTTAGTAACATCTTCGTGATATTTACGAAAGGACCAGAACAGAAGTTTAAGAAATTGAGAGAACTTTACCAAGAGCAGGATAACTAACTACGAACATTTGTTCGGTAGTAATATAACACATGTGGAAAAAAGTGAAGTTACATAGTGCAAATCGTCTACCGATACATGTGCGATGTGAAGGAGTGTAAGTGTGAATCATAATAGAACAGAATAGTCAAGTGTCATCGATTGCAGAATCCAGAACTCGATCGTCCACTGGGATATTGGTTAGTATTACTCGGCACATGTAAAGAGGAATGTGTGTGGGGGGTTGTGCATGTTCTTAGCAAAAGAATAAATCAACTGATTATGGACTGCCAACAGAATGTAAGCCACGTGTTTGAGAGCGGAGAACAAAAATTGAGAAGGAAATCGGAAGTGTCAATAGATGAAGGAATCAAGATGGATATCATATTTGAAAATTTACAGTGGTCTTCATGCCGTAATCTCAAGGTTTGTATGAATGTACAATGAAAGAACCAAGAAATATAGAAAAGTACAAACAGGATTGGTTAACAAACAATGCATAGGTACAAAATCTGATAATTTCAACCAGAGGGGAGGAATTGAAATATGAGTGAAATTCAGCAATATTTACAAGAAGGATAAGAGCAGCAAAGATATTCCATTACAGAGGAATTTTTCACGTATAAATATAAATTTGAACATGATATTGTAACTCACATTGCGTGCCAGACAGGTAAGTTTTCAAATTACATGCATTAGGGAGTAAGATAGAAAAAACAATGCTTATAACTAAAGTCTTATGTATGTTTCTAGAACGTGTATTTGCAAATGCCTGGGAGTTAACGCAGAAGGAAGAAAAGGGAATGGATAATCTCAAAACTGAACTGCTTGCCAAGGAAACAGGGGGAAAAGCAGATTTGTAGCCTTCAAACATCAGAAGAAGAGATGTTTCAAGTCCAATTCAATTAGACATCTTGCATGTGCATGTTGGAAAAACAATAAAGGTAACAAAGAAATTAAATGTTACAGTTGTAGCAGATTAGAATAAAAATCAGTAAAATTTCTAGGATTAAGAAGAAAGTATGAGGCTTAAGAAATATACTCTCCGCGTGGTACATGTATGAAGTCCAGTTATTTGGAAAAAATCATTTATACTGTTATTTTGAAAACATAAAGGAAAGAAAAGGAGATCAAAATAAAAAACAGAGAACGATGGAACAGAATAATGGATTGTGGACTGCAGAAGAATGAGCCATATGGTTAATAAACTAGAATATTTTAAAAATAGAAAGAAATAAGAATGGAAATTGGAGTAGTGTGAAGAAACATTTCCATGGAAGCTAAAGCGAAAGTTAGAATAGAGCCAGATACTTGAATATTGTTTGTGTTCTACTCTTGAGACAGAATTTATTGTCAGTAAATCTGATTACTGGAGATGGTGGTGAAGTAATGCTCAAGGAAAAAGGAAGTAATAGTTCATAAGAACAAAGAAGAAATATTCGTAGGGAGAATGTATAATAATGGTCTTTATACTAGTAGAGAGGAACCAGAAGCCGTTAGAGTGGCACAAAAAATTGGGAAATTTATGTATAGGGAAGATGAAGGAGTTGTCCATGAAAGTATTAGAAATAAAATTTATCAAAAGAGTACTAAAGACAGGAATTAGAAAACGTAAGATATTTTTGTGAAGCAAAGCGATCGAAGATTCCATTTGAGGGGACAAGAGCAAGGTTGAAAAGCCAGTTAGAGGCAAAACATTCTGATTTATGTGAGCTTATACAGCCAGAGACATGGAACAGAAACGGGTATGTGATGACAGTCTTAGATTTTACTAATTTTGTGAGGATTTATCTAATAGAATTAAATACAAAAGCATTACAGAGATTGTTTAATTGTGTTGCAGCAGCAGAAGCAAAGTGGAATAACATACAGATTTAAATGCGATAACGGAAAAAGGAGTTTACCAGCCGAAAATTCAAGAATTAGTGTAGACGGAAAGTAATTATACTGGATTATACGACACTGTAAACACCTCAACTGAAAGGAAAGACTCAATCTAACATTATTGGATAAGATACGAGCACTCCTGTACGACTGGAATGGAAAAGAAATTGTAGGTAGAAGCTGTATATTTTGCAGCTTATCTACAGAATAAAAATTCTGCAACAGAATTATAGAAAGTGAGTAGGAGAAAGATCTCACATATAAATTACACGTTTTTGGAGAAACTAATATTCTTCGATATCTGAGAGTAATAGAGCAATTTTGTTTGCAGATTTGTTTCAAGGAAAATAAACTCTGCAAGAATTACACAATGAATATTACTGATTAAGATTTGTATTAACAATGTAATTGAATAAATGATACAGCTTAATCTTTGTACCAAGAGTTTGATTCATTTTAATATTAGAATTATGAAAGTGGTCTCATGCATAAAATATTGTAAATTTATAGTTGTTCTATCAAAAGTTACTATTGATTTCATTGAGATAGGAAGAAAATTATACATACTTATTTTTTTTATGCATTTAACACCTTTAGTAATTTTAGATAAATTAATTCCCTTTTAATTAATTAATTTGTAATAATTATTGCACAGAGGGTGTGATGCAATTATAAAAATTCATGAATTAATTACTGAAAGTCAGAATTTGTTAATTTTCCACTGCCGAATTAATTTATTAAGATAATAACCGATTCAAATTTAAGCGCCTTCAATCAGCGTCATCTATGATTTGGACTCAAAAATCAAGAAAGTAATAGGAATATAGAAGAGGTAAGGAGGTCATTGGTGAGCAGGTCACGTGACAGACAAGAACAGAGAGGGGATAGGAAAGGACAAAGGTGAAAAATTAATTAACTACTCAATTTCTGTAATTAATTTATGAACTTTTATAATTTCATTGCAAAGCTGGAACTTCATGCTACATTCTTATATAATTTTCGTAAAGAATTTAACTCTAAATTGTTAGTTATTAATTTTTGTTTGATGGCGTCTATGATTTCGTAACGGCGACCATTACGATCTTTCGTAAAAATACTTAATACTAAACGAAACTAGAACCAAAATGTGAACAAAAGTGATATGAAAAGATTCGCAAGAACATTGTTTTTCTAATGAGTGCATAAAGTTTCACAAATTAATTACGTAAAGGATAGTAATTAACGAAAAACCAATGGCGTCTTTGACAACAATTCACACACTCCGTAGAATAATAATTAATAATAAATTAATTAGGGATAAATTTATAACAAAAGTTATATTAGAAAGTTTGCCAAGGCTGCGCCTTTACGATGAAATTATAAAAATTCATAAATTAATCTCAGAAATTGAGTAATTTGTTAATTTTCTAGTATCGAATGAAAATTCAAATGACAACAAAGGTTCAAGGTTCCAGTCCAAACTGATAGATGGCACTGATAGTTGACGCTTGAATTTGAATCGGTTACTAACTTTGGTTATATGCTCCTGATACATTTTATTATGGGACGGCAATTGTGTAATGGATATTTTCGACTGTAAACGGCGAATTAATCTATAACTGGAGAGAATGACATGAAATTGTGGCAGCGATGAAATCAAAAGGAGACCTCGGGTGGGAAATGTAAGGTGGAATATGTGTGGGTTGTGCATGTTTTAAGTAAAAAAATAAATCAACAGGTTATGGACTGCCAACCGAATGTAGGCCACGTGTTTGAGTGCGGAAAACGAAATTCGAAAAAGAAATTGGCAGTATCAATAGATAAAAGGATCAAGATGGATATCATATTTGTAAATTTAGAATGGTCTTTACGATATGGTCTTAAGGTTTGTATTGACATATAATGAAAGAACTAAGAAATGTAGGAAACGGCAAACAAGATTAGTTAACAATGTATAATTACCCAATTTGATAGTTTCAATCGTAGGGAAGGTATTATTACTTGATAACCTGTATGTCAAGTTATGAGATATGGGTAAAATTAAGCAATATCTATGAGAAGGATACAAAACAGCAAAACATGATATAGTAACCCACACTGCGTGGCTGACAGGTAAGTTTTCAAATTACATTCATTAGGACGTAAAATAGAATAAACAATGTTTATAACTAAAATCTTATGTATATTACCTGATTGTGTATTTGCAACTGTATGGGATTAATGCAAAAAGAAGAAAGGAAAATAGATAATCTCACAACTCAGGTGATTGTCAAGAAAGTAAGATCATCAAAATGATCTACAGCCTGTAAAGCTCAAGAGACGAGGTATTTCAAATGTAACTCCAGCATACTTATTGCAAGTGCATGGTGGAAAAACAAAAAAGATAACAAAGAAATTAAATATTTTAGTTGTGAGTAGAATTAGGTTAAAAATCAGAAAAATTTCTAGGATTAGTAAGAAAAGACGAGACTCAAGAAGTGTGCTCACCATGTCGGACATGTAAGAAATCTAATCATTTGGAAAAAGACTATTATTTTAAAAACATGAAGAAAAGCAAAGGAGATCAAGGAGAAAAGAAGAAAGTGTGCTTCTTGACAGAGAACAATGGAACAAAGCAATGGATTTTGGACTCAAGAACAACCAGCCATATCGTGAACAAGCTAGAATATTTGAAGGAATAAGAAGCAACAGGAATAGAAATTGAATCAGCAAAGAGAAACATTTTCATGGAAACTATAGTGAAAGATAAGATTGAGTTAGATAGCTGTATATTCAAACTTGAGACAGAATTTAATGTCAATACATCTGATAACTAAAAATGCGGCAAGATAATTCTAAGGGTGGTGAAATAATGTTGTAGAAACATAATGTAATAGTTTAGAAGAAGGAAAACAAATATTAGTAGGGAAGATATGTAATGGACTTCATGTTGTGGATGAATCAAAAAGGAAAATACAGGCTAGAGCATTATTAGTCCAGAGGAACAAGAAGCTGGTAGTGATACAGAAAATTGGGCCATCTAAATACAGAAAACATGAAAAAGTTGTTCAAGAAATCATTGGAAATAAAAGTAATGAAAAGAATACGAAAGGCAAGAATTGGAGAATGCAGGATACTTTTTCTATGCAAAGCAATTGAAGACACCATTTTGAGGGCCAAGAACAAGGGCAAAAAGGCAGCTAGAAATTGAACATTCTGATATATGTGTGGGCCTATAAAACCAGAGATATAGAACAGAAATAGGTATACGACGAGCAGTCTTAAATTTTACTAATTTTGTGTTGATATATTTTATGGAATCATATACTGAAGCATTACAGAGGTTGTTTAATTGTGTTGCAGCAGTAGAAGCAAAGTGGAGTAACATACAGATTTAGATGCGATAATGAAAGCCGGAGGATTTACCAGTCGAAAATTCAAGAATTGGTGAAGATAGAAAGTAATTATACTAGATTATATGACACTATATACACCTCAACTGAAAGGAAAGGCTTAGTCGAACATTACTGAATAAAACACGAGCATTCCTGTACGACTGAAATGGAAAAGAAATTGTAGGTAAAAGCTGTATATTTTGCAGCTGATCTGCAGAATAAAAGTTCTGCAAAAGCAATGAATACAACTACATATGGAAAATGGGCAGGGGAAAGATCTCATGTATAAATTATACGTTTTAGGAGAAACTAATATTTTTTGTTTGCAGATTCATTTTAAAGAAAGTAAACTCTGCAAGAATTACCTAATGAATATTACAGATTAGGATTTGTATTGACAATGTAATTAAATAAATGATA